CATACATTTTGTTGAACTTTGGAGGAAGGGGGTTTGGAACGGTTCTCCCTAGAGCAGCTTCCTTATTCAGAACAAAAAGGTACATAATGCACGTTGAGATGAAAATTCCAACATAGTCACTTTTTGTGTACGATACCTATTCCTGAAAATTTTTTAAGAGCCATAAAGGATCTTACAAATTTGTATTCTATTAACAAGTATCGGCTGAGAATAAGGGAGCATTTGGGTTAGGAATTCAGAAATGCAGCTTCCTATATATCTTTGACCTTCAACTATTCCTCCTCTACTGTCATGTTTAAATCCTTAACAAAAAATTTTATTGCAGTTTGTCAACAGCATGCGCTAACCTCATTGTACTGTACTGTAGACAACAACAACACAATTATATGCCTCTATGCTCCTAACTGTATGCTATGTTGACAATTATTTTTACCAAAATTTTTAAAAATTTAAAAATATCACCAAATTATCAAAATAAGTGCCACCAATCCCCACATCACAGTTTCACCGATGAAAGAGAAGCAGCCTGTGTGTGTGAGAAGTTTAAGGACTATTTAAATGTGATCTCAAGCAAGCCAAGGCTTGGCTGAGCATTTAAGAAGGAAGATTTGTTGTATCAAGGACTTCCCAAACGGATTCAGCTATTTTAATGCTAAAAGAAAATGCCTATAAATGGCCTTTGTCACTTGGAGAGCTAAAATAAGAGAAATGTTGCCACCGTCATACATAGATGGCTTATTCAGGAAGAAAGTTCGATATAAAATAAAAATTCACATTTTTAAACAACACAATTTGGAGACATTTATAAGGGATTTATTTTTAATTGCCCACACATTTTTTTTATCAGATGACTGATTATTTTGCCTTTATAATGTAAAAAAAAGTTGAGAATGTAGGTATTATCTATTGAATCAATTTTTATTCTTTGTAATTGCCACAAATTAAGTGTTGGAGTCCATGTCTGAAATCTCAAATGCTGTAAATTTTAGGATATGAACAGCTGGAGGTGAAGGTCACATGCACTACTTTCTGCTAGAGAAGCCAGAGCCATGATTGCGGTTACTGTTCCCATTATGTTCTGTAAATAGTTTCCTGCTTATGAAATGACTTCTGACGTTCAGTTCTAGCCCCGTGGGTGCCTATATAACTGATATATGTAAAAGCCCAATCTTGTACAGAAACGAATATTAATAGCTCATTTTAAAAATGAACTGTAGTTCATTTAATTAGCTGTTCTAATGGATGAAGAAAGCTTATCCACAGTAAAAATAGGCATATAAGTAACTAAAGTGAATATTCAGGATTCTAGAAAATTCTTGGCAGCATCGTACGCATGTTCTAGGTGCCCAGAGGCCCTAAAGAACAAAGGCACATGCCGAGGGACGATCAGTATACCGTTGGTGTGTGCTCCCCTTGGTTGGAAACGTAAACTTCTAGGGAGCAGGTTCCATTCTTTTGTATGTTCTGTACCACAATGATTACACCATGGTGCCAAATTAAACAGAGGACAGAAACTGCCGCTACAGCGCCAGCGCGCGAATACCTTTGGTGAGGGTTGTACATTTCTGAGATGGGATTTCTAATATGAGATATGTGACTCCAGAGAACTTCAAAAGTATGACACTTTGATTAATTACTGTTGAGCTCTCTTTCAAATGGAAGAAAACCAGAAAACAAACAAACAAGAACAAGTCAAACAAAACCAAAACCTTGGCTATATATTTATCATGGAAATTCAGCGTGAGGGCTACTGCAAAAGACGCCTCCCTTATGGGAAATGGCATAATAGTTCTTTGAGCCACTAACTAAAAGCCTTTCCTAACATGGAAGTCGACAGTGTACATCACAACGATGCTATACGAATGTACAAGGAAGGCTAACGTATGAGTGCTAGGTTGGTGGAATTAATAAAATTGAGAGAAAATTTTATACTTTTTAGCTGCAACTCATTTAGAAGAGTTTGACTGAATCTCAAATTTTAAAATGATTACGATTATACTCTCTAGCTGATCAGCTTCTATCTGCAGGGTGGGGACCTAGATTATCATCTAATTTTTAAACAGTAGTTTTCAGATACAAATTGTCCCTTTAAATTTTATTAAAATCAATATACATAAAATTGTTCTTCTGGGGCTGGTAAGGAATCTTCAAGAACTATGAAATATCAAACTCCAGAAAAATTTCAGGAACCATATATTAGACACAGAAGAAAAATAATGCTTCTGTAGGCCAACTCACTTAACAGTCTAAGTATCTAGATATTAAGAAAAAGAAAGGGATGCAAGTTCTGGATGCTGTAGGTTGTTGTTCAGAGGTTCCAAAGCATGTGATTAAGGTGCACAGAAAAGTAGGTGATGAGGAAAAAGGAGGCACAGCTGCGGGGATTCTTGGATTTAGGAAAATGTTTCAAAAGTAATACAAATGGTTATTTGGAGGTAACCGTTCCAAGAAACATGAACTATCTACCCAGCAAGCTATAGATTAGGTCACCATCATACATTCTTTCACTAAAAATGTTTTACTGTTGTCTGTTGGTTATTTTTTATAATGGAAGACAACGGGACATTCATTCAAAATATCTTTGCAACCAGCTTAGCCGTAGTGTTCCACTGTATATTACAACTAAACTGAAATTGGGCTAAATAAGGAAACACTGTCAGCAGTGTTATTTATGTCCCAACGTCGTAGAACTGTCGATAAAGACAGTGTTCGCTGGTTTGGGCAAGAGCAGAAGCATTTCACCTGTAAAGGTGCTGCCCAAGGCTGTGTCTTGCTGAGATGTGGTCAGAGCATCTTTATGTTCCATGAACGTGAGACACTGTGTCTTATTCATAGGCGATAATGACTCTCTTAAACTAGGGAGCTCTCAGTTAGGTCAAATCTGTGATTATATTTAACTAAAAAAAGTGTGGCCATGACTTTAATTCATGATTTGGTTTAATAGTCATTTCTCATTGACAGGAATTCTTTATAATAGCTAATACATATAGTTAGTTATCTTTTCTTAGTTACATTTTCTGTCTTCGCAGAGGCGTGAAGAGTGAAAGGAAAAAAAGTGCACCCACGTGTTAAAATCAAGAGCATCACTGACTAATCCTGTATCTACTGGATAACACATTCCTCAACCTGGTCATACTCAGCCATCAATGTCTGGGCCATAAGATTATGAAGTAGGGATTTCCAGTTAGTTACCCTAGGAAGGCACCTAACAGGACTGGAATGGCCTTGATTTCTCAAAGTGCTTTGTGTCATCCTGGATTCTAGTTGAATTTTTAATTTTATTGGGGGAAAATTTGAGTTGTTTTGTTTTGAGAAGATATTTCAAAAGGCCTGGTAGACAAAAGAATTAAGAGCATCAAGATCATGGATGAAACTCAAGTCTATCAATCAAAGCAATGTGTAAACTGTAACATTTTATAAAAAGTGAAAAGCAATAATTATTGAAATGTCTGTACATTGGTTTAAAGTTAAGAGAACAACAGAGGTCTACCGATGCAAGTCATTAATGAATCAGATAGGCAATACACGCAGATGCACCTGGTCCCATACAGCAGGTGACCCCAATAGATCCATACCAAAAGTCCAAACCAAAGAAATTTGACTTGTTTCAGTTTCCAAATGGATTCTGTGAGTATTGTGAAGCATTAAAGCAAGATGACCTTAATTTAATTAATATTTATTGAGCACTTCCTATACGTCAGCCTCTGAAAATACAAAAAGAATTAAGGCACAATATGTCACCTAAAAGAGTTTGCAGCCTAGTGAGAAAGGCAAAAATGTACTACTGAGGGATGAGATTGGGAAGCACCATTCCAGCAGAGTGGGGATGTCAGAGGCAGATGCTATGGCCTCAGCGCACCCAGGTGGGGACTAAGTCAATGCAATGCAATGAGTGTGGAACACGCTTTCAAGGAGCTTGGCTGTGAGGGGAAGAGAGAGCACCATGGCTATGGAGAGAAGCAGAGTGGAGAAGGGTCTTGTGGGGTTTTTTACTGTTTGTTTCACTACAAGATTTTAAAGACATTTCTTCACATTTCTAGATTATGGAAGAGCACCAATGGAGGAGCAGAGGAGATAAGATGGGAGGGCGGGAGGGAGAGATAGGAATAATATTTGATGGAACAAGATGCTGGGATAGATGAGAGATAGTTGGACAGACACAAATTAAATCTCAAATTTATGTCCTTTTGTGGCCTAAGAAATGTCAATATCTAAATGTCTTCTTTTGTGACCACCATTTTCAGATGCAATTTCAAAATAAATCCTCAATACCCATAAATATTTTGAATAAAAACGGGTTCGCATACCTCTAATTTATCATCAGTTCTAATCAATAAACACAAAACAATGTACTATTATTTGAAGGAGGTAAATGACATACTGAATGATATTAAATATGACTCTTTTTTTAGTCGTCATAAAATAATTTAAATAATGCTACAGTTTTGCCAAATGCAATTCAAGTACATTTCTGATTTTTCTCTAAGGAAGAGTATTTTTGAAGCTGAATCATAAATTACACATTGTACCCTGACAAAATTACCGTTTCATGGCATTTGCATCAAATCCATTATCTTGTGTTCTGTTGCCTAGCTACGAGAATTCTGAAGTTTAATGGGTTTTAGATGGATATTGAAATTTCAAACAGAATTTCAGCTATACAGTCTACAGATAGAGAAGCTGTGGGACACAATTGTTTACTTAAATCTGCAAAGGAAATTTTGTTGCTTGCAAGGGCTCAGACCTGCTAAGTTTTGGAGAAGAGTGTACCAATTTTTAATGGACAACATTTGACATCACATATCAAGTTACACTAAATTCATATTAATTTTTTTTGTTTCAGTTTACTATGGACGTGGAGAAAAGAAAATCTTTTCTTTGTCTTTTTTAAATGTTTAAGGTTTTAAATCTATAGTTTAGGTCCTGCCTCATTTATACAATTCTTCGTATAACACACATATGTATGCATCTTTATAGAATTAATAAGTACCTCGACTTACCTGTTCCCACGCAAACACATGTTGATTAAAATAATATTGAATTTGTTCATTTGCAATGTTAATGCACAGCTGCTCAAAGGAATTTTTTTTGAAATTTTCAAAGCCAAATATATCAAGAATGCCAATGCTCAGCTCCTCACCATTCCCACTAGAAGAATTAAAGAGGCATTATTGTGAGTTCTTGTTTATTTCCTGAAGAGGTAATTTAAAGCAAGGAATCTTCAAGTTCCTATTTGTGACTGAGCTAAGAAACTAGTACCAGGACATACACTTAGAGTGAAATTTTCTTAATTGGAAAAGTTTCTCTCTGTAGCACATAAAAATAATGGAGGCAACATTGGTTTTAATAAGCAAATGGAACAATGTTTCCCTTGTACTGCAGAAACCACTCCTATACTCTTACACACTAAAATAAAAGAAAGAAACTTTTTTTTGCTTAAGCACAAAGTCATAGCCTGAGTCATTCCCGAGTGAGTCAGGAATCACAGGAACCACCTGGCTAGCGCTCAGAACACAGAAAAAATATATTCAACAAAAACCATACCAGAAAATCACAAATTCTGTTAAGCAGTATATTTAGTCTTTCATTTTTTAGGAGAATAATTTTTTAAATCTTACTGAAAAGATCTTAATTATTTTAAAGAATTTTTATTTATTTTTAGATTATTTATTTATAATTTTTGATATAGACAAATGGTAACCTGGAGAAAGATATAAACATATATGGATTTATTTTATAATTAAATACTTTAAAATACAATTATTACTTTTTTACAATTAAATATTTCAGGTGCATTTTTTTTCTGCTATCCCATGTGGTGACTTTTGTTCACTGAAAGTTAGATACTTAGTCAAGAAGTTTGCTCCTTCCCCAAGAGATACATACATTGCAGAGTTATTTTCATGTGAATTTAGAAAGGGAAAGTACAAAAGCTTCTCTTTGTGCTCATCATCTAGGTAGTCCAGTTATGCTTAGTTTTGTGCAAGGAAGTGATTTGGAAATGTCAGCTAGTTACTGCACACCGTGAGCTGAAGGATGCTCTGTGCATTTGCAGGAAGTGACTGAATTCAGAATGCAGATTACAGAACACTCTAAGTATGTGCTGGGATGGACAAAAGGAAAGCTATCTGAGCATTTCTGAAAGTTCCTATTTTGAATAGCAAGTATAAGTCTACGTAGTTATGAGAGGCAAGATGTCTAGTCAAAATTTATGCTGGTTTAGTCAAAATTATTATTCTTTTACAATGTCTTTGCCCCCACAGAATCCCACAGAGAAATATTTATCTCATTGTATAATAATATGTTAGTGCCAGGAGGGACCTTAGAAATGATCTTAGTTCAGGGATTCATTAAGTGGGATGTTAATGGCCTCCAAGGTCTGGAACCACAACTGCATATAATATTTTGGTGGATATGTATAAATACAGCCATTTTTTATTTTGGAGAGAAGGACATGGTTTTCAAGAGGTTCTTAAGAAGCTCCCAGATACCCACCAAATATAAGACCACTGACTTGTCATCCAATGCCCTTATGTAATGGCTGGGGAGGAAGAGACCCAGAAAAATGCAGTAACTTGCCCAGTGTCACACGGCAAGTTATTGGCAAAACCTGGCATAGAACACAGGCTCTCTGGTGTAGATCTTAGTATAAATCTTGACTGAATTGAAGTAAACTATTTCGATTGGTTTTGATTTTGTCTTTTAAACTTTCTGTAAAAAATTAATATCTAAAATGTGGATAGTTTTCATTAGTGTATGGCAAGGAAAGCTACTATTTAGCAGATAGGCTGCAGCGAAATTTTCAGTAGGTCATCCTCCTGGGTACCATTTAGTGTCAAACATGCAGATGATAATTAACAAAATGAGGTCAAATCACTAAATATCTTGCTTACATTATGTGGAATAAACAAATAATCAAAAATTCCTGAATATTTCTCTTTTCATATGCATGCCTGACATCTTATACATGGCCATACATGAACATACAAACCATTTGACCATTAAATCAGAATGGGAAAATTGGACTGTGGTTTGCAGACTCAGCCATAGTAGGGTACAGTTCAGTAGGGAGGCATAAGGAGGTAGAAAAGCAATTTTGAGGGGCAGAGAGTTAAGATCATGGAAGAATAATGGATAATCCCTTAGTCTGACTGGAAAATATTATGGTATGATATGTCTTTTAGTGAAAAGACGATTAATTGTGTACTTGAAACGTGTATAAAATTGTCTTTTATGCTTAGTAAGCAGTTGTGAATGAGATGATCTTAATTAAGGTGGGCATTCATCTTGCTTTTCCACACGCAAAATTTCTAATGATTACATAATTTATGGCAGAATAAAACTTTAGACGTCAACGTAAGGACTTGTATCTGTGAGCAATCCCTGGGATGCCAACAGCACTCAGTCAATGGTGGCTGCAATTATCTTTATTTCTAAGATGAGGTACCATGAAGGCTATAGATTCGTAGTCAGATAACATAATCCTCATCTCCTGGCTCTACCATTTACTGTTATTTATCTGCCATTATCTAGAGCATTTCCGAACCCCGTTTCATTGGAGGTCATGACGTGTACCCTTACAAGGTTATAGCGAGAGTGAAAATATGAAAAGAAAAGTTTCCTTTACCTTAAAGAGTTAATTTAAACCCTCAAAACAAAAACAAAGAGCTGATGAATTGACGTTTTATACAAGTATCAAATGGTATATACTTAACGGTACAACTTCTAATTGAAAGAACATATTAATTGATAGTAAGATGTGACATTTAAAAAACTCACTTTCTATTGTGTTTATTCATGTTGCCACAGTTTTAATGTTGCAGCAATTTAAAATTTTTATAGTTATGTGGCATAATGAGGTGGTACCATTAGGAAATGAAACGTATCTGCTGAACTGTAACTTTGATAATTAAATTGTTCCAATTGGAAACATTTTCAAAGGGACTCATGCAAATCAATCAATTAGAAAATAGATTTACATCTCTGACATTTGGGGCAAAAATTTCTATAAAAAGTTTTACCTTGGCAATGAGTCATACTTCAGCAAACTGTTAATGCGGTTGACTATCCAACTAAAGAGACGCCCATATAGAGTTTTAGCCATGGCATCTCTGACGTCAGTAGCTTTTTCTACAGTATTGGGTCGTATAATGGTTTCTCCTCTAGTGACCACGCAGTGGGAGGTGAGAGCTTCTTGGAGCTCATCTGCCTGAATGCAAAGCAAAGACGCAGCTGGAAAGTAAACAGATGTATTGTTAGAAGAAATTACAGCAATGAGATCACTCCCGGAAAATGAAAATGTCTTAATTCTCTCTCTTCAAATGACAAGAAATAGACATGTGAAGATTTTGTAATGTAAAAATAAGTTACTATTCAACATGAGTCCTGTGTCTCTTCTTGATCATTTTTTCTCTACTTATCTCCGCTATTCAAACTTAGGCTGCTGCGTAATATATCACAACCCAAACCAAACTGGCTCACACAGTGAAACCGCTGCACACATGAGTGGTTGCTTATGTGATGTCAACCGTAGTAATTTCACTGAATTATGCTAAATAATTAAAAAATTTTGGCAGGGC